GATAAAAAGCATCTATCTCCATAGTATCAGATGTCCATATTATCAGAGGTTAATACCAAACTAAGTATTACCTGAAGTGAGACAGAAGTGGTTTACCATATGGGGAAGAGACTCCACTATTAAACCACAGTTTGAACTGGCTGAAACGACAGAACTTCTCTTTAAAAGTGACAAGAAACTGAAAAAAATAAAATTTACAAGTATTTCTAACATTTCAACACGAAGGGGCTGTTGAACTCTCACAATTACTGGTTTTGTCAACAGTATTTACTCTCAAAACAGATACTTGGAAATGAGAATTTACAAAGCAGTAACAGCAGCAGGAAGCAGCAGATTCTGTAGTCAATTGTACTAACGAAACAAATAGGACAGATCTTACTAGCAAAGAAGCACAGAAAAAGAACAGACACTGCATGGGACAAGACAAAGTTGAAAACCCTCGGTAGTTCCGCTGAAGTACTATTTGACAAGACATTCTACCAGAGCATTCAGTGAGATTTAAACCAGTCAATATCAATGCATTTTGTGAGACTTAAACACAAACTCTACGTAAGCAATGAATCATAAGTTGCAGAACTGATATGCATATTATTGTATACAGTGAAGGCTCCTAAACCCCTGCACACAGATAAAGCAGATGAAATTAGTTTTAATAAGAATTTCACAAGAGCTGCTGTTTAGCAATGAGCTGAATTCAAAACAAGGAAGCACAACTGCCTAGGTTAGGCTTTTTCTATTGCTTGTAAGTGAATAGCTTAAAGGGATGGCAGAGCCTGATTAGTCTTAAAGCATGTTCAGTAGTAAGTCTTCATCTAATCAAGCAAGACAAACCAATGCACTTTTACTCAGTACTGAAGGAAAATTTTCACTATATGAAAAGACACTGCAAACATCCTCTCCAACTAGGAAAATACTCATGGGACTTGCATTCACCTGATATTCACTTCATTCCAGAGCTATTAAGAAGCCTGTGAAGAAATAGCTAGAGCTCCCTCCCCTCTTTTTTGACAGCACATGAAGACCATCACTTTTAAGAAGCACCCAAAGCAAGCATATATTCAAGTCATATTCTAACAAGAATTTCAGTTACCAAAACAAAGCAAAAAAAAAATGTAAAAGAACATTTTCAACTAGCAAGGCATTGAATGCTTTCTTGGCGGAATCAAGAGCACCATGGACTGATCAAGCCAATAAGCAAAGCAAGTTAAAGGCTGCATTTTTAAAAGTAGACATAGACTCATCTTTATCTTAGTTGAACACCTGAAAATGAAAAGGTATAGTTGGTTGCACAGGCCAAGTCACAGAACTCAGATGTCCCTTAGAACAAAGCTGTCAAGCCTGTACCCAAATCCAGCATACGAGGACACAAATATCACGATTGCCTTGAAAAAGAAGTCAACTAATTTGGTAGACAGAGAATATGCAATAGTATCAGAAATTGAAACAACATATGTATGTGCTTTTGGTTAACACGTCTTTGTGACAGACACATTTGAGGTCTGTTTCTATTTGTTGCATAGATATTAATATTTAAACAAGTCATGAAAGTAATTTTTTAAACGGTTAAGTTCTCATTTTATGAAATACCTACTCAAAGAAGTATTTCAGCATTTGCACAATTACATACACAGTTTAGCCACATCCTTGTCAGATATGATCTCATTTTCTTTTAGCACTGTTTATTTGTTTGGTTTAGTGTCATTCTCCAAGTCCATCTTGCCTCTCTACATGTGAGAAGTTTGAACCTCAGTGCAACAGGTAAAGAATTTATGATCTAGTAGTAGTCATCATCTTCAGGTTTTAAAAAAATAACCGCTTCCAATAAGGGTTTTGTTTTGACATTTTATCTAAATTGCCACAGTAGTTTCATTTTTAAAGGAAGGATTTTATCATTGTTTTCTCTTTTTTTAAAAAAAGCCTGACTTGCACTTAGCTGTGTTCATGAATGGCTGTTGTGCCATCAGGAAATTAACATACTCTTGCCTATAACCACAATGAGCATTACTTCGGCTATGTCTGTTTATTTTTTTTTTTTTTTAATTCTCACACAATTTATGAATCTATTTCTTTCATATTAAAAAAGCTTTGAAAAATAAACCTAAGATCTGTAATTACTTCAGTTTTAGGTAAGAAAGAACAGTCATCACCTCTCAGAAAAGCAAAACTCAGGATGCAATACCCAAGATTATTTGTCTGTCAGTTTTAAAGCGGGTTCTGAAACTGGTACGTAGAAAGCTAAGTGCATCCATCACCTTGACAGGTGACTTAAAACACTTCACAAAAAGCCTACTCCCCATCCCAGGAATAACAGTTTCTTACTCCCACCAACAGTCTAAAGCAGAAGAAAGAAACCCTTTTGTAGCTGATGGATTAGTTGCACCCAGTGGCCTTTCTGAGAGCCACAGTAATTTTTATTACCCACAATATTAATTTTTTCATTCCAGTAAGAAAAGATGTCCATGATAAGTTACTGAAAATTAATTGTTCAAATCAGTGTAATATTTATTCAAAAAATAGGGATGAAGTATATAGATAGGTACAAGTAATAAGAATCAGTTTTCATTTATTACTACTACAAATGTATAGCATATTGATAGGCGTATGACATTTACAATATAAACTGCTTAATACAAAGCTGATACCAGTAAGACCTATGTATTTTACAACTGTTTGTTAGAAAACATTTGTCAAAACTTGTGACACACAATAATCAGTTGTACAACACAATGCTGTAATCAAATGATACATCAACTTTTCCTAATATTATTGATTCCATTGAGTTTATTTCAGTGTGTAATAGTGACTCTCCCATATTCTCTCCTTTGCCTAATTTAAAAGCAAGATCTAATAAAAAATTTCCAAAAAAACAATGTTATGACTGAACAAAGCAACCTAGAATTTACCAATTGTGGCCCATTGAGTTGCCAATGACATTTTCTAAAGTCTAAATTCCTTTTTTAAAAACAGCTTTGAAAACATTCAGTTCAAAAAACCTTAATGCAAATGGAAGTTCAAACCTAAATACATCCTGCTAGACAACTAAATTTTCTCAAACAATTGTGTCCTGAGCAACTTTGACACCTACAACATACACTAAAAAACTAATTTTATAGTTTGTGTTTCTCTTAATATCCAAAATACCCCCAAGCTCCCAGACTCCAGGAACATTTGAAAACTACCAGTTAAGAATTACACTTAATCACCACCACTCCAAACCAGATGCACGAGCACTCAAATTAAGCTTCTCACAGCCTAGTACAGTTCCCCAGTACCAAATATGTCGACAAAAGAATGAAGAACTTGCTTGAATAAAGTCTGCTGTCAGAACTCAATGCACCAAAACAATGTGTCTCAATTTTAAAGGTTCTCTTAAGGATCCTCACAATAATGCACAATGCCTGACACTACTTGTGAAGATTCCTGGTACTGCAAACTGCTCCTCTTCCCCAAATCAAACCAGAACATACAACTTGCTACCCATACCCTTCTCATTCTCAAATACATAAATCTAAACACAAAATACAACAGTATCTGATCACATAAGAGTACAGTCTGTAATGAGAGTTAAGTACAGATTTATCATTCGACCTCTCAAAATTCCACGTTCATTCATAATTCCACGTGCAGTGCATGTTATACTGGTTGTGTGAGAATGTCTCAAGTTCAAAGTTAATCTCATGCCTTTTTGTTTCTTCGAGAGACAGTATTCAACGTTTCTTCAAGTCTTTCCATGGCTTCTGGGCATGCCTATGTTTTTAGTATCTTGGAAACCTATCCTGTCCCTTTTGGTATAGCTGTGACAAAAGAATAACGCTTATGTTACCTTTTCAGTTATGCTGTTTACATATGCACGTTTCCAGATTTGGTGTTTCCACATTGCATATATACAAGAACAGACATCCCCAAAAGCATCAAAACTGAATGTCCAAAGAGAAAGTATAAATATACATGATGCAACATGAAAGAACTTTTAAAAAGTCTGCACTGCACGCTGTTTTCTCTTGGGTCATTTGTTTCTTAAAAATGGAAAGAGATGAAGAAAGAACCCAAAGCAATGTGCAGCACTAGGGCCACTCATATATTCAAGTGTTGGCTTCAAAATCAGATAGAGAAATGTCTTGCTAGTAAAACAGTACTTTCATATTTCATAACACTATTCTTATAAACTCAAAAGAATGTATCAAGCAAAAAAACCCAAGAAAAACAAAAAATCCCCAAATTGCATCTCCTCCCCCCCAAGTTTTAATATTTCAGAGCTATCCTATTATACCATAAACACTGTGATTAATATTTAAACCATCCAGCCAGCATTAGCAACTGTTCAGAGCTAAGTTGGCTCTGCAATATATAAAAGACATCAGCATCAGATTGCTTTATTTGGATTTATTTTTAACCACAACAATTATTACTATCTTAACAGTCTTAAGAATAAATAAATAAAAAAAAAAAAGAAAATAAAAGCACAAACTTTAACACATGGAAGGATGAAAGTGACAATAATTTTTTAAATCCTATATTGTACAGTGAAGGAGATTAGACATTGTACAGATACACAGCCAATGTATAATGAGCTAGAGCATTCTCACAGCAATGTCCAATCTGTAAATTCTGCACATTTTTGAATGTTTCGATTGCATACAAGCAAGCTTTTATATCTAAAAAAGGAACATCCCTTAAGGATCAGTAAGCCTCTGTGTCAGGCTTGTTATTAATATACTCATGATACACCCATTAGAAAGACAGAAATTAACAGAAAGTTTAATTTCAATTATATTTTCATTAATAACAAATAGGTATTGCTATTGCAGCAAGACCCAAAAAAGCCAGTAGTAAAAGGTCCGTTCCAGCTAGTTTGCCCTCACTGGCAATAATTTCGTTTTTAGAAGTCTTTGTTATCTAAAACTTCTAATGAGAAGTAAAACCATGTTAAGAATAACAGGATAAATTTAAGAAGTATTAATGGTTATTTAATTGTAATTTATAGGTAAAGAAGTAATTACCTGCTTGTATTCACCAACGCAGTTCTGACAGCAGAATCTTTTCTGCTGCCCATCAATAGTAAGAATATTGTTTCCAGCTCCTTTACTGGGCAAATATTCCCCACAGTGCTCACAGCAATTCATTATTAAACCATTTGCCATCCTGTATCTATTGAAGCAATGGTCACTGCACAGCTTATGAGTCATATTTTTAAAGCTAACTTCATGACGAATCTAAAAAATAAAAATAAAAAAGTGTTCTATCACCACACAAGCACAGAGCTGCCTGAAACTACTAGACAAGCCAAAAGTCCTACACTCAAGTACCATAACTGAAACCAGATTATATTAGCTCACTATTTAAGAATGGAGATGCTTGAAATGAGCATGAAATGGAGAAACAGAATTTGGTGTTTCTGTTGTCTCCAAAGTTCTAGAAAAAAAAATTTTGGACTCATTTGCTCTTATAGCCTACAGGCAAAGATCACAGGGAATGATGTAATAATTGCCTGTTAGAATAGAAGGTTAATTGATGTGATTTTATGAAATATTCAATTTGCTGGCTAACAACATGGCACAAAGACTGGCCAGACACACACGCTGTGTAAAGTAGCCACCTGAACTATAGTGGGCCCAGTAAAGGCATCAAGAGTAAATTAATACATTAATGAGAATTTTGAATTACGTATATTCTACCTATTTCTAAAAACATCTGCATTGTCTTTCAAAGCATCCAGTAAAAAAAGCAAATACACTAAATCTTGACTTTTTTCAACAACAAATCTTCTACATGGCAGATCTGAGCTATAATTACAAGATTCTATGCTTAATAAAATTGTTGACAGTAGCTACAAGATATCAGCAAAAGACACTTCAAGTTTCTGAAACAAAAATCAAATACTAACCTCTGAATTTTCTCCCTTCAGGTTGTTCTTTATGATTATTAAGCTTGCTATCTTAATATCTCACTGCATATGAAAATACTGAATCAGATTTTAAATTTCCTTCAGTTCTGATTTCAGAATCTAAGTCATTAATATTGTCATTATTGAGCAAGATAAGAGAAAAAACAGTTAACCGGACCTCAGTTAGTTTACCACAGACAGTGCATCTTGATTTATTCAAAACTCCTTTCGAGGGATTCTGTTTATCTTCATAGAAGGATAAACATGATGTACTGCAAAACTCCTGGAAAGATTCACTTGAATCAACTTGAGCAACAATGGTACCTTTCATTGTTGTTATATCTCTGAAAGACAAAAAAAAAAGTTCTAGTGTGCCTGTGTATAAATACATATATATAGTTAAACAAGAACACTTTACATCTTACAAGATTTATTCTTCCTTTTAATGCTTACATTTCAAACCATTTTTGTGGGTGTACAGTGGTTAGCCACATATCAAATACCGAGTTTAATAATAATATTTTTACAATTACTGTTAAGTACTGCAAGTACAATGTCTTTCCTGCGTAAAAACCTGCTTTTTTGTTTGGACCAGGGTTATTTTTTCCCATTACATTATTATAGAACTAAGCAGCAACATTAATGAACCATTGAGTTTCCCACAACTGGTACCTAATCTTATACAAAAAAATAACACAGAGAATTTGAACTAACACTTTTGCAATTTTACATGCAAACTATACTTAAGTTTCACAAGAAAAATTCACATTTGCAGTAAAAGGCAAAAATTGGTCTTTACTTGTATGTATCTCCACGTTTTAAAGTATTCATCTCAGGATAGAATAAGAGGAAAAGGTGCTTTTCTCATAAATACAACCCAAATAGCTTAAAACTCTACCACAAACTTGCCTAGAAGTTTTTTGTAAAAAGTTAATTCCATCATTAAAGTTCCAAAGCACCTGAACATTTGCCTATGAAACTGCAACAATTTAATGCATTAAACCAGACAAGCAACCACCAATAAAGTTAATTTGAAACAGAACAAACCTTCGTCTAACCAAACTGACTTACACTGTTTTTTACTGAAGTTAGTTCCATATCTCCTTGATCTTCAGTTGTATCCTGCACATGCTGCAAACTTAGCAAAGTTGCTAACACCGTGCTTCTCAGTGTACCTTTGTAATAAGGTCTCCCAAACTTCTACGGGCATTTCTAAAGTAGTTTCACTCTTAACTCCAAGCTATCACACAGCATAAATTAGATGCAGTAAGGAGAAGCAAAAAAGCTTCCCCCTTTGCTTTCTAAGCAGAAAAAAACTATTACTGACATACAGGAAATACTATTGGGAAGAATAAATAAAACAGTTGTCTGGATCTCTACTGACATCACGATGGATCACCAGTTGGAAAACACATGCCCCAGACACTCATGCCTAGGAGGCCTAAAACAGGCATGACTGGAAAACATTGGAAAAATGCTGTATGCTTCTCCAGACAGACTCTCTTGAAAATAAATTTGTACTGCTCTTGGATATTAACACTTGCAAGCCTGCCTTCTTCCATCAAAGGAAAGTCAGCAGATTTTGGCTTACCCTTTGGCAAGCTAGTTAAGATTTGTGTTGGGGCATGTTATCACTTCTGTACAGCAAAAGCCAGAGCTCCTGCCCTGAGGAACTTATCATTTCTGGCTGAATTCCACCAGGACTTATAAATACTATTAATTTTTATCAAAGGAGACAAGTGCAAAGTCAAGAAGAATAATACAAGTCAATAAAAATTACAAACACTAAGGAGAATACCAGATATTTCCTACACTTTCCTTCCTATAATAATACCTACACTATTTATGTAGTTACAAAGGTTCCAAAGAGGTCTAGGAAAGTGGTTTACAATAAAATACATAAGGGTTCTGACTTCTCAGATAAGGTTATACAATTTTTTTTTGAAAGTTATTGTAGGTTTCACTTTTTCCACTTAAAGTAATGTACATATTTAAAGCTAAATCTGAGCATAACCTCTGGAAGTCTGATCTGTGACATATCAGCTATTATCATCTATCCAACCTACATTCAAGACCCGGATTTTGCTAGAGTTCCCTTACACTTTCACTGAACTGCAATCTGACAATGTTATGTCTGCTTTAGCAGGAAAGGAAGACAGAAGCAAGTACAAAGCAAAGAGTACATGGTTTGCTGCCTCCACGTAGCAAAAATCTGGCAACAAAGGTTAAGATTAGGCTTCACAATGAAGCCATGCTACAGAGGAACCACTGAATGCACATACTGCCTTCTAATTAACTCCACTTGAGTAAGGAACTGCATACTAGTGGAAGAGCAAAGACCAACACCACCTCAAAAATTGTCAAAGGTAGCTTCACAGAGGTCCTCTAGAAATCAAATACACTAAACATACCATTTTAAGTAACCCCACACCTAGCAATAAGGTATTGTCCTCATTAAAAAAAAAAAAAAGGCACCTTTTCATTTCAGGCAGTTTTGTATGTAGCCTCCTAAGATACACAGATAAGTCTCCAAAGTTGCAAGAGAGCACAGATTTAGCCATGAGTTTTCAAGACTTCCGTCAGAAATAAAAAGATTAGACTAATCGTCATCTTTATATATAAACACAGCTAGCTGAATATGGTAGTCACCAGATTACTTCTAAAAAAAGTGTATAAACATGTACAAGCCAACAGAAAGAGTACAGAGTGCTTTTAACTAGCTCTGTACCAGCAAGGGTTGAGAGAATTTGAGTTTTTACATGTATTTTAAAAAGTCTAAAATATGTTAATTCTGCTAGGTTTTCAGTGTACCGAGGTACAGGATATCAATATTTTTTACAGTTTATTCGTGAGTCCTAAGGGGAAAAAAAAAAAAAAAAAAAAAAACTGTAAGAGAGATACTCAGATCTACTCAGATGAGTAGCTTATGTCTGAATACAAGCCATTAATCCACCACACTGCATACTGAAGTAGAAGTTTTTCACTAGTTTAAATGTGCAATTGAGCAAAGACCACCCTCTCCAAAACATACATTAAATGAAGGCAGTCTTTACTTCCAAGCCTTTATCATTTAACCAGTGTCACTACAGGGTGTACTGGATTGAGGCTTTACTGAAAAAAAAACATAAGTGCAAATATTTCAGTAATCAGTACACTGAAAAAGACAGTACAGCTATTTTGTACACCTAACACTACAACAGCACAATATGGAAGACTTCTCTCTGGCAATTTCAAGTTTGAGAAGTAATGAAAAATTACAAGTCAAACCTAACCAATAATTTAGAATAAGCCACTTCCAGGTATGCTTGTCACTCCCTCTGTACTGTACACTTAAGGTATCTTCAGCTTCAGAAGTTGTGATAGTTGCCCCTAACTATGGTCAAAGTCCAAGGCTTCTCCTCTCTTCACACTGCCAACAGTGTAAGAGCTCCCAAATTTCTTCCAGCTTCTTGCAAGTATTAGTTTCTCCTTCTTTTAAAAGAATCTTGATTTTATATCGTCATTTATGAAAATGAGTGCTTTCTATACAACATAAGATCCACTCTTTTTCATAAAGGACTTTAGATGTAAACAATATATCTTGTCACATGACATGTTATAACTTGGATACCTTGTCTTAAAAAAAAAAAAAAAATCTGTTATTTTTAGTGTATTGGCTTTCACAGAAACAATCTGTCAGCCAAATTCTAAAGCTGGTAGACTTCTTATTTTGTTACAGCAGACACAGTGAATCCAACATTTCTAAACAACATTAAAAGTGACCTTACATAAAGTACGTGTATAGTCAAATTTTATATCATTAATAGAGCAATTCTCATACATGCATGAGAATCTCACGTATTACTGGATTTAGCTGCTAATATGAAACAAAATTTAAAATCCCTTACTTTCTGCACATAACACAAAGTTTCTTTGGAGTGGGTTTGTGTGAAAATGATGAGAGGCAGGTAGTAGAACAAAAAAGGTGAGCTGATCCTTTTCGCTGATAAGCAGTCTGTCCCTTTTGTAAAGGCTTTTTGCAGTTTGCACATGTGACTTTAACCTGTTTAGAAGGCTGCTGCTGGGCAGAAGGCTGGAAAATCTGTTTAGGAAGTGATGCTACAGGTGACAAGGAATCCACACCTGGTTGCTTCTGATTCCTAGGGAAGGAAGCTGACTGGGATATCCAAGAATCTTCAAGACAAATAAAAAAAGTAAAAAAAAAAAAAAAAAAAAAGAAGAAGAAAAACAAAAAAAAACATAAAAGTGAACAGACATGTACATATATATAGAATAATATTCACAGATATGTGATCATTAAATCATTTGCCTGTTGGAATTGACAATTAACAGAAGAAAGATGGTATTTCAGAAATTCAGGTTTAAAGTAAAATGCTGTTTGATAGTACCAGTCTCCATTGTTACAAAGTTTCAGAACATGAACAAACTTCAGGATGGTCCCATCCTACATCTAGTGATACATTTTGCAGACCTCAATTCACTTTCACTGGTTTTGCAACTGGCAATTATATCTTCAAACAAACAAAATTTGCAATTACCAACTGCAATTAAAAAAAAAAAAAAAAAGGACACCAACACAGAACATGGAGAATCTAAACTAACGTTTGAGCTATAAACTCTGCAAATTTGTGAGAACATGAAATCTTGGATTTGTGTTAGTTATTTTGTTCTAAAGCTTTAACAAGCATCATGTGTCCTGCCTCAGTGATAAACCTTAGAATCCAGGTTCCCCATATTAGTTTCTTAGTCCAACCTGCAGCCAGAGAACTATACTGCAGTTAGAGCAAAGAACAGTGGCTCCGCATCTGGGATCTGCATCTACACCACTGATGCCTATAAGAGTTCCACTTTTTCTCAGTAACCTTTCCAATGCAATGAATACCACTTAATGTGCAAACTGGCAAAGTCATGAGAGTTCCAAGTCTTCCTCAGTAGAAATCAACGAACCTAGAAAACAGTATTTCATTAAGTTCTGGCAGTACACAAATCCACATCCCTGTGTTCCAGACTCCACTAGTCTTCCAGCTGTATTTCTGGACAATAAACTACTACGGAATTAAGTAAACTTTGTCCAATCTTTTGTAGCATAACATGCTCCAGAGTAATTTGCATAACAAGAATTTAAGTAAAATTATTTCTCCAACAGAAATACACCTAGAAAGATGACATACTTCTGTTAAAATTACACGCTCAGAATCTTGGTTTAAAACAGAATACACAGTCTTGGGGGGAAAAAAAAATTGCTCAATAAAATGTAATTTCTAGGCTTTTTGCTGGAATTTAAGCTTTCATTTTAAATAATCATCATAAATAATTAATAATGTTGAGGTTCTGAAGAATGCCAAGAATGATATATTACTTAAGCATTAATTAAAGCTTGAATAGGAATTCCATTATAAGAAACATTTATACACATTTTCAAGAGTGTTTGTCAGCTATCCCGAATACCGTCACAGGACTTGGGACTTACCTTTCAAGTTTTTTATTCCCAGCATCTAGAAGAGTACTTCACTGTTATTTACTAAATAGTAAATACCTGCAAAATATCACTGTATTGGGTAATACTTGTGCTACTAACTTAGGTAAAGAGTAAACACAGCATTTACTGTAACTAAATAAAAATACTAAAGCCTTGAATGTCTTACTGCAGTAACTCAGTGTATTCCTCAAGTGTTATTACAAGTAGTACTAACAAACATAGGAAAGTTGATTTTAAATTCTGTAACTTCAGATAACAAAAGCCTTAACCCATAGAGTTCAGCAATTGCACATACTTTATTCTTACAGGACATTATCTTGGTCCATAACCATTCATTAAACACAAGGCATCCTTTTCTCACATTATGTTTTGAAGTCCTCTCTTTCTCCAAGGGAATTTTACTAACAACATATTCTGCTGCATAGTTTTAAAATTAATTTTAGGGACAAAGTTCCAAGAGCTTTTGTTATAGCAATAGACAACACACATTCCTTAGTAAGTAGAAGGTAATTTTCGGATGTGACTGTAGCTGTCAAGGATGTCCTACTTCTCAGGCATATAGGACAAGCTGGAAATTTACCCATTGTAATGCTTGAGGGAAAACATAAGAACTGGACCAAAGAGGTGAAGGGAAGAGGGAAAAGAAGCAGAACAAAACACATTCCCCTCTTTAAACCATTAAAGAGGTTTACCTCTGAAGGTGTGAGTATCCATACTGACAAACTAAGATATGTTACCACAGTGCTTAAAGTTAAAACTCACTTAAGTGCCCTCTTCAAACTTTTCTATACTACTACATCTACTGCCTCAGATATATTTATATTCTGGTAGCACCTTAACACCTAAAAATATTTTGAGATTCTCCTCTCTTCTTATAGGTTTCAAGTGGGAGCCCAGGGTATCTCTTTACAAGTTACATGTGCTTTTAATTCCAGTAGCACTCAACTGCCACTCATGAAAACTTGAGTTTGCTAGGCTTGTCTGGGTTTAAAACTTTTACCATGACTTCCCAGTACTCCATTAAGACTATTTCAGTATTTCCCTAGGATCTTAACAACTAAGCCTCCCTCAGTTGACCTTTTGTTGCATCTCCCTTTCCACAAACGTACCACAAGAACATCTAAAGATCATCCCACCTTTCTTATTTTTGCTTTCACTTCTTCCACATCACACCTTCATAGACATTAATTTTTACACTGACTTTTCTTCACATATCACTTTTTAACCACGTTACATCCTGCACTTTATATTCTCTACAAAGGATCTGTAAAATATTTTTCATGTCCTTGAACTGAGAAGGTGCATCACACTTCCTTAGTTGATTCCTGATGAGTTTCCACACCTCACTGCCCTTATGTGTTCATCCTTCAGGTTCCAATCTGCAATCCTTTACTGGCCAAGTTCATGAGACTGTACAGTTTCATGTTCAATTTCTTCCTACTATAATGTGTGTGCAGAGTGTTCCTATTCTTCCTCACTCACTCCTGCTCTAAACTGCTATAAAATTATTCCTTACTCTTATTTGCACCGATCCATTTATTTGTGGAGCCATCTTACAAAAATGGCTCAATGAAGTGACATTCTTTTAAAAAGCTGAAAAAACTGTATCAGCACAATTTGGGGGAGAGGTGGGGAGGAAGACAGTAATGAAGTTTTACAGAGATATGCAGCTCTTGAAACATATTCAACTACATCTGCATTAATGACATGGTTCAGATCAGGGCAATTCTGAACCACATCCTCAATTTGCAGTTTTGATGCACAAAAACTAGATTACGTTCAGACAAACAAAACCTACGTTCCAGTCCAAGAGCACTTGAAACTTGTCTACATAGAATTCAGTTCCTCGACCTGGACTTCTCCAAGACCTTTGATATGGTCCCCCACAATATTCTTGATGCTAAGTTGGAGACATATGGACTTGATGAATAGGGAACTGGCTGGATGGTTGCATCCAAAGAATTAGTTAATGGCTCAAGGTTCAAGTTGAAACCAGTAACAAGCTATGTCCCTCAAGAGCCCACAGTAGGACTGATACTATTTGATATCTTCAACAACATTGGAGGATTAAGTGCACCCTTGGCAAGTTTGCAGGTAAAGCCAAGCTGAGTGGTGTAGCTGATAAGCTAGAGAGAAGATGCCATCCAGAGGGAGGGACCTTGATAAACTTGAGGAATGGGCCCACATGAACCTCATGAAGCTCAACAAGGCCAAATGCAAGATCTTCCACCTGCATCAGGGCAACCCTCAAAATCAATACAAACTGGGGGATGAATGGATTGAGAACAGCCCTAAAGAGGACTTGAGGATACTGGTAGATGAAAAAATGGAACATGAGGCAGCAATGTGTGCTTGCAGCCCAGAAAGCCAATCATATTCCGGGCTGCATTAAAAGAAGCATGGCCAGCAGGTTGAGGGAGGTGATTCCATCCCTCTACTCTGGTGAGACCCCACCTGGAGTACTGTATCCAGCTCTGGGGTCCTCAGTACAAGAAAGACATGGGCCTGTTACAGCAGGTCCAGAGGAGATCCACAAAAAGTGACAGAAGGCTAGAACACCTCTCCTATGAAGAAAGGCTAAGAGTTAGGGCTGCTCAGCCTGGATAACAAAAGGCTCTGGATAGACCTTATTGTGCCCTTTCTATATATAGAGGGCTTACAAGAAAGATGGAGATATACTTTTTACCAATAATTGTAGTGACAGGACAAGGGGCACTGGTTTTAAATCAAAGAGGGTAGATTTAAATTGGACAAGAGGAATGAATTTTTTACAATGAAGGTGGCAAGACACTGGAACGGGTTGCCTAGAGAAGCTGTGGATGTCCCATCACTGGAAGTGGTCAAGGTCATGTTGGACAGGACTTTGAGCAACCTGATCCAGTGAAAGATGTTCCTGCCCATGGCAGGGTGGTTAGACCAGGTGATCTTTAAAGGTCCCTCCCAACCCAAACCATTCCATCAAGTGTACTCCAATGGTTATGGGGGACATTAGGTTCTGAATTAATATGTTGGACAGAAGTTTCTCCGTTACGCACCTACTGCTTCCAATACAGTAGAGGCACTTAGCCAAGGGGAATAGACTAACACTGATCCAGGAAAAAGATCTTCTAAACCACATATAGAATCATAGAATCATTTAGGTTGGAAAAGACCCTTAAGATCATGGAGTCCAACCATAAACCTAACACTGCCAAGTCTACCACTAAAACGTGTCCCTAAACATCACATCTACACATCTTTTAAATACCTCCAGGGAAGGTGCCTCAACCACTTCCCTGGGAAGCTTGTTTCAATGCTTGACAATCCTTTCAGTGAAAAAATTTTTCCCAACACCCAGTCTAAACCTCCCTTGGCACAAACTTGAGGCTGTTTCCTCTCATCCTGTCACTTGTTACGAGGGAAGAGAGACCAACACCCACCTCAGTACAGCCTCCTTTCAGGTAGCTGTAGAGAGAGGTAAGGTCTCCCCTGAGCCTCCTTCTCTCCAGGCTAAACAACCCCAGTTCTCTCAGCCCCTCCACATAAGACTTGTTCTCTGGACCCTTCACCAGCTTTGCTGCCCTTCTTTGGACACGCTCCATCACCTCAATGTCTTTCTTGTAGGGAGGGGCCCAAAACTGAACACAGTATTCAAGGTGCAGCCTCACCAGTGCCAAGTACAGGGGGACGATCCCTTCCCTAGTCCTGGTCACCATGCTATTTCTGATAAAAATACAGATAATGTATTTGCCAGAGTCCCACTACCAACAGCTTTGATTTATTATTTTTCTAACAACATGTACATGTCACATGTCTTACTTCCTTTGTCAACAGGGAGGGAAAAAAAAAAGAAGTATCATGAAACAATGTATGTTTGCATCTTCAAGGCTTCAAATCCTCTATATAAGAAGGAAACATGAATAATAGGTCTTGTCCATAGGTCTTGTCCAACATGCAAGCTAGAAGGTCTTTAGGTAATGGGACTAGTTCTGGGATTTGCAAAACTGCTCAGTAAATGGCTGTATTAAGTCCTTACACGAAGTTTTGACATTCAACAAATGCTAACTGGTAAATCCCCAAAGAGAGATGTGGTATCTTAGTTTGCTATGCAACTTCTTACATCCTATTTCTGAACTATAAGCATTGTTTTTCAATCCAAGATCTTTAAACTACATAAATTAATGCATTTTTATCATCAGCAGGCTTAAATTAACTAAGCAGTAGTCTCCATGTCCATTGGAAATATTTTAGAAACCTGGAAATCAGAACAGATGAAACACCACTATTCGAGAAAAGACTGATCTATCCTTAGCAATTTTAGACTTGAATTGTGTAGAATATATTAAACATTTAAGATCAAATGCTTCCTGTCATACTATCAAAGTTTCTAACAGGCAGGGTTAACTTCTACTGGGAAGATATTATAGAATAAAAGGAAGCAAATTCCAGGGGAAAAGAGCAAAATTGAAACTTGTACCTTGAAAACGTTTCCTTTACATCTCTGTAAAGTACAAAAACTTGTAACCTCTAAGTGACGCGCACCTACCATGTTTCAGGCTTTTTTGTTGTGTAAAAGCCATTTTCACTATAGCCATCTCTCCTCCTCTTGTTTCTTCTTCTCATGTTCATCATTTTTCTAATTCCTCTCTTCTTTAGTATTTTTCTCCTCTTTTACCTGTGGAAGCCCTACCTCCTTCCTTTTGAACCTATCACTATTTTGCATATAAAAAGACCACAGTTATATAAAAAATGCTATATATGTACACCTTGAAATACAGCCCTCATATCTACTTGTAAACTTATTTTTAACTCCCTTCTTAGTGAGTCTTGAAAGTCTCTAACAGGACTCCCAGCCACTAGCCCTGCCTCTTTGAACTCAATCTATTTCAACACTGCTATGGTTCCAGCCTATCAGACTTCATACCAGCAAAATTCGGGTGTGTCTCTATTAATCACACCAAAAATAAAAGTTCAGTAGTTTAAGTGACAGCACATGCTGATTTTCTTAAGATGCACTTTCCCCAAGAAAAACCACAGGCACTACTTTAAAGTCACAAATGCCTTAACTTCTCATCCACAACTACTTGGCCATCTGTGACAATGCAATAATCATATCCCATGTCGAAGGGACCAACTAGCAGTAGTGGGAATGTTGGTTTTAAAAGATTAGGAACTGCATTCCTGAATTATTCATTGAGACATTCAGACTATTAAAAGAACTTTCCAGCTTTCAACTTCAAAAGTCAAATTTTGACATCAGTTTCAAGATTAACACAAAAACTCCACAGTCTAACATCCAACTTAAAGCTTAGCTTCATACAGCCATATACATAATATATGAAAGATATTGATACTTGTGCAAAAATACATTTGGTAATACAGGACCAAATTGAAGAACTGTGCTATTTAAATACTCGTTGAAAAACACATTAAAATAAATCCATGTGTTTTAATCAGCATATAAGTAAATTAAGAAATCACGCATTAACAAGGGTCTACTGCACCTAGATTGTAACTGGTTTATATTTTGCTTTTAAAATGACCCTAGCTAGTCTTAAATTAAGCCTGTAGCGAAAGTTGTGATTTGTTTTTCCCCCCTCCACTTCTAGCCTAACAGAGCAGCAGAGCACCGGCATACGTTAGACCCTGGAAGGTTTTGAATTGCTTATCTGAAAGCTTAAATTCTGTAGAGTAGCAATTCCAGAAGACCATTCATAGCTGCTCCACCTGGCTTTTAGCAATACCTGTTCATTTTCTCAATCAGGAGACAATATACTGCTATTTAGAGAGACACAGAACAAAGCCAGCCAATTCAAACTAATTAATGTTGTATGGTATAAATACATATTATCACAGGTGACTAAATAGCAATTATAAAGTGTATGTAGCTTACTGCAGGAATATACAAATCCACAAGTAACTTGGACAGTGTTTTAAACACTGTCAATACCAAGAATTGCTCAGTATGCAATGAATTATGACAGCTCGCTACTTACAACTTATGATCAGACTTTCAAATTCAGGTTTTTTGCATGTCAAATTATATTCAGATGGCAAGACAACATATCAGTAAGATAATACTTAAATAACTTTGATGCATTATGCTAATCACAGAACTCCACAAAAAGGTACAAAACTTACATAGATACACTAACCTCTATTTGTGTCAATCAAAGGTGTACACTTAAGTCAAAGAAAGCCTTGCTTTACATGCAAATACTTGTGTCTCAAAACATCTGAAGTTATCACTAGCTGCTAAACTGGGGTAGTTTACCTACCTAACACATTATGTCGTTAAGCATATTTTATCCCGGAGTCACAGATATGGTTGTGCTGGGGATGAAAGGAACCACTACCTTCCATGTGAATTAAGCTAAAAACTAAGCAGTGCCACCACCAAAAATATTTTAATCAAACATTATTTATTTTTAGCTCTTAAGGAAATGTTCAGAATTGCAGCTTACCAGGATTATGGTGAGTCACAGATTCTCCATTTTGAAATACATCTCCAGCCACGTTCATTCTACCAGGATTGAAAGGTCCTACACCAGTCTTGGTCTGTGAAGTCAAAGATGGGGTGTATGTTTGCATATTAACACCAAAATTACTTGACTGCAGTCCGTTAGATACATCTCCCAAGTTGGCATTCTGCAGTGATGTTACATGTGTAATCATTAAGTTCATGTCACGCCCTTCAGCATTTTCTAAATGACCATCACTCACAGAGCTCATAGCACCTGTTTCTAATGTAGTAACATTAGCAATCTGAATTTCAGAGTCTGGTTCTGTGGTTATACCACTATTACCTATTCCTGAATTTACCTTACTTCTTGAAAAACTGGAAGCTGAGAATTCCATATCGTTGGTTCTATTTTTACACTCTGGAAGTCTTCGTTCATTAAAACTGGAAGCATTCTTCTCTTGTCCTTGATTTGTTTCAATGTCTTCTTCATCATCAATAATAATAGTTTCACTTACACTCCCCTTTTGAGAATTTAAGTCTTTTGGAGGACGAAGGACTTTGCAATCATTCCCTTGAAGTTCTTCGTTTTTTGATGATGTAAATGCAGTGTTCCTTTGATCTCCTATCAGTGATGTAGAATTCTGCGGAGGTTGTATGGGTTCAATAAAAACTACATCATCATCATCTTCTATAGGTGAGTTTTGGAATTTATTAGGTCTAGAAACTAAAGAACTTGGTGGACCTCCAAATGTATTTCCTACATTTGCAAGACCTGCTGCCATGGTTGTATTCCCTAGTAGACCAGGAGTATGTTCAGACAGTTCTAATCCTCCCAGAGGACTCGTGTCCATTCCTGATCTGCTGTTTGAAGAAAAACATAAAGCAAGAAAAAAAAAACCACACCCAACTTCAGAGTAAGATATAACTTTCCAATAACAGTTCTTAAAAATAAATAACTACAGAATTAATAGTTCCAGCTTTTACTTTGTTTTCCTCCTGAGATCATGTAAAGAACAAAGTTTCTCTATGATCTTCTTTAAATGTCTCAACATTCATTTACCTTCTAATCCTATACTGCCATCACCAACATTCCCTACACAGTAGCTACACATCACCATGTTTAGCAATACATACATAGGAAATGGAATTTTTGATGGTACTTATTACATGATCCTGATTTCTGAGTCCCTTTACCACCCACATAGGCACACAATGATCCTGTAAAATTGCTTTTGCTACACTGCAAAGCAAGATCAAATGTTAGACATGCAGAAATAAAAATCTGAACTCCTTTTAAATTGAATTCCTATTAGAAATGTTTCAGTATCAATACATTTATACAATAAGACTGAAGTACATATCCCAGTGCCTAGCAAAAAAAAAAAAAAAGCATCATCATTTTGCATATTAACAACTTTTAAACTTGACTGGTTTTCCCCCAATCTCACACTTTCAAAGCTGCTTATATAGCCCCAATATAACTGGAACAAAGAAGTAAGCAAAACAGATACAGAGACGCTGCGCACAATGAGAACAGATATACTATTGAGCAGCGGAAGGTACACAGCAACCGCTCATTCCTAGCTACTACCAGAGGCAGCTCATTTGAGGTCTTGACTTACTCCCTCATATTCCACTGCAGTTTTCAACAACTTCATCTCTTTTCTTTGTAACAGGAATCTTCAGGCTCCTTCCCAATAGCTACTTTCATAGAATAGAATCATAGAATAGTTTGGGTTGGAAGGGACCTTAAAGATCATCCAGTTCCAACCCCCTGCCATGGGCAGGGACACCTTCCCCCAGCCCAGGGTGCTCCCAGCCCCGTCCAACCTGGCCTTGAACCCTTCCAGGGAGGGGGCAGCCACAGCTGCTCTGGGCAACCTGGGCCAGTGTCTCACCACCCTCGCTGTAAAGAATTTCTACCTTATATCTAATCTAAATTATCTAATCTAAATCTACCCTCTTTTTGGTTAAAAAAAACAAAACAAAACAAAAACAAAAACAACACTTACTGCTTACTTTGCCTGAGGGTTTCTGTTTGCTTTCAGTATTTGTTGAGTTTGAGAAATCTGTTGTTTGTACTTGTCAAGTCTATCATGAACTTTAAAAATTACAGAAGGCAACCTAGATCTACAGTTTTTGTACCTGTAATTTCAAACTGGTATATAATTGTCACTAGAGGACCTAAGATCTCTCTAAAAAAACATCTGTACTAAAAATCAGTAAGTTAAATTGATTTTGATTTACACAGTAAGGAAAATACAGATGTAATTACATGATAATTTGGGTATGTCTTGGAGTATACACTAATGTGTGACATCACTGAGCTTTGGTGAAAGTCTAGAAAGTAGCCTTCTGTGCTGTTTTATAAATCCTTTATAAATGAAGGTAAATAGAGGAAACAGAAATATCCTGCTCATCAATACTTACCCATCCAGAAATCCACTGCAATCTGTTTACCTTAATAAGTTGATCCAAGAGCTTTTATTTTCTTTCCTGGAGGGAACCTGCTGCTCTTGTATCAACTTGCTGCCCTCCACAGAAGCAGTGTGTTCTGAAACAGGGTTAGAACAAACATTAGATATCCAAAACAGATCCTTCACTTCAAACCTCTTCTAACAACTATATTCATTAAACTCACTTCCTTCTAAATTTACAGTTTAAGTTCAAATCTGGCTTTCAGCACTATCATCCTACAATTTTAGAGAGAGAATGTCAGTCTATACAATCACTGCTGTGTGTAAAGAAGCAACAATACTGTTCATTTGAGATTTTCCACTCTGTCACATTACATTTCCAGAAACCTTTGTTTGATGCTTTATAGGTAGATGGAAAAAATATGTTTGATAAGAGACAGACAGACGTAACTGCAATTAAGTAATCAAACACTAGAATTAAGAAGTATATATGTAATAGAATATTAGAGAAATAAATGGTTCAAGTTAACTGAGCTATTGGGAAGAAACCTTAGCAGTTACATTTCTTTGCTTTTTATCATGTCAATCTCCTTGACGCCTGTAGCGGAATATACCAAGATAAAATTAAGATACAGCAAAAGGAAAGTTACAGAACATACATTATAAATCAGGCATACAATGCAATATTAACCTTACATTGCTAATAATTTTAAGTGTGCACTCCAGTGATACTTAGCACAGGTTCAGGCATCTATAGCTTATAGTAACACATGTGATCATTCACAAGAGACTGAAAACGTTCAAAGTTCAAGCCTGTATTTATTCCTCACGTTTTGTAACAGTCATTAGGTTTCTTAGACTTGGCAGAATTTTTAAAATAGAGTATCAACTTGTGTAGTTATCTACTGTTTGAGGACAGCTCTTAAAATCCCCAGACGGTAAAGTGGCATAGAGGAATAAAGCTCAAATATTCTTCTACACATATACAACATTATCCAAGCCCTCTCATCCGTTACCTTGCAGGGAGTGGGGGGTACAGTATGACAACCAAACAGCAAAGCTGTAAACCAGATTAATCCTAGAAGAGAGGCAACCACCTTTTAATTCCTTCATGTTAGCCTTATAACCAAATGCCATTATGTAATAGCATTTGAACTGCAATAACAGTAACATTGAATTGCAATGAAAGAGGCTTTCTTACATTAAAAAACAGAACAAAACAAAAAACTAGCAAAAAAATCCCCACAACCAAACAACAAACCCATACTATCAAAGCAGTTGGTTTGCATTTCCTTCGAAATCAGTCAGTTACACTGAAGATTAATTTAATCCTATATTCTCTCCTTTACCTATCTTATTTTTCCCTCCAGGGCAAAGGGGGAATAATTCAAAGTTAGACTTCCCTACATCTCAGCTTCTGCTGAAAAGAATTAATTAATTTCACTGATTTTTAAAGTTTCCCCAGTTTGTTCCATATATTTTCTTTCTCTACGCAGACAAAAGCATCACAAGCACACAAAGCTTTTAATAAAGTTTTAAATATACCTGAACAGATGGGAGCAAAGAAGAAATGAGACTATGCCAAGACTATACCTCAGGTCTGACTCAAACCTTTCGTACTTCTGTTTTCACAGATCCTTAGTAAAAAGACAGACTTGGGCTGTATTATGCACATAATATGTAGCAAAGATAAAATCCATAACAAATCTTTTTGACAAAATACATTTTTTTTCCCACAACAGATCTTAAAAAGGTTTTAATGACCTGTATTATTAGGTATGACATAAAAGGAAGAAAAGTTTGTGCTTAACTGTCAGCACACACTTAAGTAAAATCTGCATATATTTGCTCACAAATATTAGCTCCTACCTCTGCAAGACTCAGCAACAACACTACCCAAAAAATCAGAATTTTTTTTCTTTAAAATTTGCAAAATAAGGTAGCTTTGTTCCTAGCGTTTTTAGAAAACAAGAGAAACACAAAAACTACATCGGCAATGTCACAGTCAGTATTTCTAAATTAAAAACTACCAAAACAGGAATGATCTACAGACTAAAAAGAATAGGTTTAGAATGGGAAACCAGGAAAAACCTCGTGCCTCATAACTGGTAATAGCAAAAGACACTTAATAATACAAATACAATTGCTAGAAATCTGCAAGATTGATTATACTGACCACTAGATGAATTTTTGAGACTTTGAAAAAACCCAACAAAAAAACAACTGGTGATACCTGGTCTGCAGAAAATGTATGTTCAATACTGTTGCAGAATAAGCTCAAGGCTTTATGGTAGCGCACACACACCAACATCACAGCTGAATGGAAACGGAGGGACTATCAATACACAACAGCCCTTCCAGAACCATACTTTGTGTGTCCTCCTTATAAATTAGGTTCCATCACTCATCTATAAAAGTCTTCATCCTGAAATAAATTACAATCCCATAGCTACATTCAAGGTTTAATAGCTGGAAGAAATAAAAAGCAAAATGCAGACACTTCTCTGGAAGGATGGCAAATACTACAGCGTTTAAGACAGCCAGCTAGGTAACACTCCATAGGCAAAGTCTGAACTCCATTGTGGAATGATAAAACAGAGTTTTAAATTTATCGTGAATTTCAAACATTGATGTGGGGTGTGCATCTACCTTAAAAAAAAAAAAAATCAACTCCCTTTTAACAAAAGGGGAAACTGGAATTTAAAAGCCTTTACTAAGTGCCATTAATAACATCTGGGATGGAGGTCACAGAAGAGCACAGTCGTGGTTATATACACTTGGAAGAATGTCACAAAACTCAGAAAGGAGTCATTGAAACCCAGCCAAAACTACAGTTCCACCAACACGAGGCACTTGAAACAGACATCCAGAGTAGGACCAGTGTGTTCAAATGCTTCCATATAAAGGCTAGAAGACTAAAAATAAAAGAGAAAAACTTGAAAGACTGCTTTGGAGAAAATATATAACTGAGACATCTTCAGAAGTGAAAAGATGAACAAAATTCAGGAGACAGTATTATACTAAGGTACGAACATGGGAACAAGTGATAAGATTGATTTGCCCCAGTGAAGGAATACTACTTTCTGCTAGGTAAGTACAGTATCCTAACTAAATTATTTACCTCAACATGTACTGTGCTGCATTTGAAGTCCATACCCAAACTAGCAGAAACAGTATATTAATGGTATACTATCAATTAATCCCACTTAACAGTGACAGCATGTGTGAGATAAGGGGAACAAGAGAGACTGCAAAGTAATAACTAAAGACTTCAACTACTGTTATGAAGACTAAGGGAAGAAGACAAAAAAAAACCCCAAACCACCACTGAATGATGGAGACAGTCTTAGACAGACAACTGCAACCAGATAGAAGACTAACAGAAGGAAAACCAACTCTTCATCTAATTCTCAGCCATGCAACCAAGATGTAATTATCCAGACAGCACTCCAGAAACGCATATTTAGATTCCATGGGGAATAAAATAAATAAATACATAAAAATTCATTACTTCAACATTTGACTTCAAAAAGAAGAACAACATAAGTGTGAGGAACCCAGTTAAAAGGAAACAAAATGGAGCAGCTAGGAGAAAAAGCTTCTTAACAGCATGAAGGCAATTTAAAAACTCATCATTCAGCATACAACCAACCAAAAAAGACCCCCAAAAGACACTAAAACTACTATCTGGAGGTCTGAGTTACAAAGACGCTGGAGTTGTATTAGGGGGATATTTCATAGACATTTGTTCTACTCTTTACCCTTTGCTAGGTTCAAAACAGGCTATTGAGCTATGTCAGAGCAAAGGTTTATCTAAAGTGACAATTCTTGACAATTTTAAAAACAGCAATTTTTTTCTAAAGAAAAGGAGTACCCAAGAAGCCTGAACCACAGCAGAAAACACTGAATAAACTCTTTGCATTGATATTCAGTAAGGAAAAGATCAGGGAAGACTACATCTAAGCTCTCTTTCTAGGGGTCAAGTCAGAGGAAAAATGTTGTATCAAAGTGTTAACAGAAAAAGATTTTGGAACAAATCACTAGGGCCACATTGCATTCACTCAAGATCTCTTAAAACAGTCAGCAATTTTATATTTCAGTATGTGTCACCCATTACTTATGCAGAAGGTGCTAACAACTACCCAAATAATTGCAGACTACAGTCCTGTCTCCAGCACTAAACAGACTGATAGAAACTACAGCTGAAGAAATATACAAAAGAAAAAATAATATATGGGGAAAAAATTAACATGGATTTTGCAAAGAAAAGGTAATGCCTCACAGGACTATTGGAGAGATCTTTTGAAGGGTTCACGTATTTGTTGACCAACACTGATTAAACTGGTATACAGCACTTAAGACTTCCAAAAGGCATTCAAACACATTCCTCACTAAAGACTGCAGCAGATATAATCTATAAAAAAAAAATATTTGAGTAAGCATTCTCTGGGAGATTTCTAATTACTTGAAAAGTAGCACGTGTTTGCTGTTATCACAGTAAAGAGGAGTTTATAAGAGGGGTTCCAAAATAAAATTATATAGGTCAACGTACATAAATCAACCATAAGAGACAGTGACTACCAAAGTGACAGTCTCCTAATAATACAAAATTATTCACAGCAGCTGAAAACAGAAACTAGTTGTAAAGAACTATAGAAAGATATTACAGTGCTGAATCAAGAGAAGTCTGGCCAGCCAGTCAAGGCAAGTCATTCTCTCCCTCTGCTCTGGTGAGACTCCAGCTGGAGTACTGTGTCCAGCTCTGGGGCCCCCAATGTAAGAACAACATGGACCTGTTCCAAGTGGGTTCAGAGGAAGCCACAAAGATTATCAGGGGGGCTAGAGCACCTCCCCTATAAAGACAGACTGAGCCAGCTGGAGCCTAGAGAAGAAAAAGCTCTGCACAGACCTTATAGTGGCCTTTCAGTACTTAAAGGGGGAGTAAAGGAAAGATGGGGAGGGACTCTTATCAGGAAGTGTTGTGATAGGACGAGGGGTAACTGTTTTAAACTGAAAGAGGGTAGATTTAGATTAGACATAAGGAAGAAATTCTTTCCTGTGAGGGTGGTAAGGCACTGGCACAGGTTGCCCAGAGCAGCTGTGGCTGCCCCCTCCCTGGAAGGGTTCAAGGCCAGGT